GATAGGCCTGAAAACTATAGATTGCGTCTTCATTAGCTATGTACGTAATAGCAGTGCTTATTGATTTCTTGTGTATGATTCAAAAATTTCAGACATACACAAAAACACGATAATGGAATCGAGAAATGCTTCATTCTTTGAAGAAGTATTTCCATACAAGTCCAAAGAGGAAGCCAGCTCCTTTAAACGAACATATGAGACAATGACTGAAAATAGTTAGGACGAAAAATTAGAAAAGGAGACTGGGGTTAGACACAGCAAACGGGAAAGGACAGAAAAGTCTTATGGTCCCAATTTTCTGACCTATATGCTAGAAAGTGAACCTCAAAACTATCAAGAAACTGTGAATTCCTCATAAGGATCTCAATGGAAAGATGTCATTAAAGGTGAAATAGATTTCATACTACAAAATCATACATGGGAGCTAGTGGATTTTCCTCCTGGATGCAAACCACTAGGCTACAAATGGATTTTCAAAAGGAAAATAAAAGCAGATGGAACTATCGAAAAGTACAAGACCAGATTAATAATAAAAGGTTACAAACAAAGGGAATGCCTTAATTACTTTGATACGTATTATCCAGTGACGAGAATAACATCTATTAGGGTGATATTTGCGATTGCTGCTTTGCAAAATCTAGAAGTACATCAAATGGAAGTTAAAATGACTTTTCTAAATGGAGATTTAGAAAAAGAGATTTACATGGAACAACTCGAGGGGTTTTCGTCAGCAGGACAGGAAAATCAAGTATGTAAACTGGTGAAATCACTATATGACTTGAAACAAGCACCAGAACAATGCCATGAAAAATTTGACAATGTCATAATAGATAGTGGATTTAAAATTAATGAATGTGACAAATGTATTTACGTCAAAGACACTAAAGATGACTATGTCATTTTATGTTTTTACGTTGACGACATGCTTATTGTTGGTAGTAACAATAAGATGATTGAATCCACTAAAAATATATTAAATTCGAGATTTGATATGAAAGACATGGATTTAGCTGATGTTATACTTGGAGTCAAAATCTCAAGAACATCAAATGGGCTTGTTCTAAGCCAGTCATATTATGTGGACAAAATTTTGGAAAAATTCAACAAGGATGATACTGGTTTGGTTAGAACACCGATATATACGAGTCAACATCTTTCTAAAAACAAATGTGAAAGTGTCGCTCAAGTAGAATACTTGAGAGTTATTGGAAGTCTAATGTACTTAATGAGTTGTACAAGACTAGACATAACCTACACGATCAGTAAATTGAGTAGATATACGAGTAATCCAGGAAATGATCACTGGAAAGGTATAGTAAGAGTACCAATGTACTTAAGATATACTCGTGACTATGGAATACACTACACCAGACATCCAGCGGTTATTGAAGGATACAGTGATACTAATTGGATATCTAATATAAAAGACTCAAAGTCCACCAGTGGATATGTGTTCATTTTGGGAGGTGCTGTCATCTCATGGAAATCCTCTAAGCAAACGGTTATAGTCAGATCTACGATAGAATCTGAGTTTATAGCCCTAGATAAATGTGGTGAAGAGGCCGAATGGTTACGCAACTTCTAAGAGGATATTCCAAGATGATCCAAACCTGTGCCTGCAATTTGCATATATTGTGGCAGTCAATTAGCAATAGGAAGGGCACAGAGTAACATGTACAACGGTAACTCTAGACATATATGTCGTAGACACAATACCATTAGACAACTACTCTCAACTGGCGTTATCACAATTGACTATGTTAGGTCAAAGGATAACATTGCAAATCCGCTAACCAAAGGGTTAAATAGAGAGTTAGTTGGGAAATCATTAAAAGGAATGAGACTCAAGCCCTTGAAAGAATAAGTCATTACAAAGGAAACCCAACCTAGTTAACTGGAGATCCCAAGATCTAGGTTCAAAGGGATAACCTAACTATAAAGACTTGATAAAATCACTGTGGGGGTATCACTTCCTGTCCATTCCTATGATATAACAATGATGCCCGTAAGGATGAAAGTTAAGTAATAGGTTTTTAATGATTCTTACGCAAATCGGGTTACTTTTAATAAGAAATCACCTATGTGAGAAAGAAGTGGGGCCGCTTCTAAGAGAATTGTGTGGGGTTCAATTCTTAGAAACTCTTACAGAACCAGGCATATGTTCATGGCCAAAATGAACATAATAATGAGAACTGAAGGGTGTTAGGAAGAATCCTGTGTGAAGTATACCATCGTTTACACAAACGACAGAACAGTTCAAAGACATCGCGTCTACTGGTCAACCAGTAAAGTAAATATGCTTTCACAAGGGAAGGTTCAAAGGGTAACACCTACCTATCCTATACAGGCTTCAACCATTGAACTTTATTACCAAGTCTTATATCTCACGTTTTGTGTCTCTCCCAATTTTCATTCATGTGGGGGATTGTTGGAAAAATGAGTGAATTGGCTCACTTTTTGGTACAATTTTCGATGGAACCCGTTGGTCCAATTTGGAATATCAAAATTGATATGTGTTCTCCTCTGCGAGAACACCGAAGTCATGTATTTATTTGCCAAAAATGAAGCTCGGGTGAATGAGAAATTGGAGTCTAAAGTGGACCATTGGAAATGGTCTATGTTCGTGGAAAAACTTTGTCGCACATAGGAAAAACATGGAAACCAAAATCACTTTATATATGGCTATGCATTGAAATGGTGTGATCATGTATAGCGTAGAGGCTCTCTCCACGTGCGCGCGCAGGGGGTGCAAATCACGGACAGAAATAGTCTTCGGACCTTGAATTTGAGTGTGGGCGCGACCTGCGCACACGGACGTCGAACCGAACGGAGCAAAAACTGGCCAATTTGGACTGTCCGCGTTTTGCAATTTTTTTGTGATTTTTCCAAATGACTTTTGAGTGTCTGAAACTCCTAAAACTCCAATGGTCGAAACCGAAGTGTAACTCCAAAAACTGCAATGTTTAATGCATAAAACTAATGGTTAGATTCAGTCTATATAATTCACTCAATTTCTAGCAGTTCATACACTGAATATTTTCGTCTGCAATTTTCAGCTTGTTTTCTGTTTTGTTCCGTCTCATTCCAGTAAGGTGATATTGTTTGAACACTCGCGCAATTCGTCGAAGTAGAATCGCAGTGCTCAGATTCTACTAGTCACCGTTGTATCCTGGGAAATAGGCGCTTGAACTAAACCTCTAGCACCACAGTGAGGAGGCGAATTTGTCTTAAAATTGTGTTTACACAAACCTCAGGTTGAAATTATATCTACTATTTATTTAATTTGCAATTTGCATATTTATTTATTTAATTTGCAACGTACTTGAAATTTATGTTAGAAATAAATAAATAAAATAAAACTGCTTTTTTCTAATTCGTTATATGTGTGAAAAATAGATTTCACATATAGGGTATTTCTATTTGTAAATGAAAAAATTTGTATTATTTTAGTTAGTGTATGAATAAAAACACTTTATGCAAATTTTGTGCAAATACGGTGGGTTTCGCCTGCAAATACAGTGAGCTGCCATATACGGTGAGTTGCACTGTCAAATACGGTGAGTTGCAGTTGCACTGTCAAATACGGTGAGTTGTAAATACGGTAAGTTACACTGCCATATACAGTAAGTGTGATCCGGTGTCTAAAACACAAATACGGTATATAAGAGCCCGATTTCACTCCATACACTACCGATTAAATATAACAACATATTCTTGAAAAAAATGGCCTGAGGATAAATTTATACAGAGAATTTGAACTCCAAGGAACAATGTGCATCTTCATCCTATAAACACGTCAAAGGTCAACATCTATGTTTTGCTAATTTTGCATAGATAAGTTTGATGATAGCATCTGAATCCAGTGTTCTCATTACTTGAATTTAGAAAGTGATTCATGGATAAAGATGGAGACTGTGTTATCTTCATAGAAATATGAGGCATTTTCAAGAATGTCCAATTTTAAGAATATGAGTTAAAAAGTGTCAATTCATTTAAATTTAGTATCAATTTGTCTATTATGCCTTTAATGAAAAACTATATTTTGAAATGGTATTCTCGACATTTGATTTTTTTTATCAATTTGTCACGAATTTTGAGAAGTGGCTTCCATGAGAAGTTACATTAAAATAAATTCGGACGACAAAAATAAAAATAAAAATATAATACTTTAAAAAAATAACGTGAAAACAAAAAAATATGATACTTTAAAAAAAAAACAAAAAAATCACGTCTCCGTGACACTGAGACAAGTGTCTTCGTGTCACGGAGACATTCTCGACATTTGCCTCCGTGTCACAAAGACATTCTCAACATTTGAACACTGTTTCATTAAAAAAAAGAAAAAAGAAAAAATCACGTCTTCGTGTCACGGAGACATTCTCGACATTTGTCTCCATGTCACGAAGACATTCTCGACATTACATATGTCATTCTCGACATTTGAATATCGTTTCATTAAAAAAATGAAAAAATCACGTCTTCGTGACACGAACAAGTGCCTCCGTGTCACGGAGATATTCTCGACATTACATATGTCATTCTCGACATTTGAATGTTACATTTGTCTAGAATGACATTTTATTTTGAACATGACATTTCTCTACATTTGAAAATGTCGTTCTCGACATTTCTGAGTTAACGAAAAATATAGTATTTATTGTGATTTGACATGTATACTTTTGAAATAAATATGGCAAGTTATGTGTCAAAAATTTATTCGCCAATAACAATTTTGCAAAAAATGTCTATTTTTTTGTCTTATTGTGGAATTAAAAATGGTTAATAAGCGTATTTTGGTCTAAATTTTTTCAAATTGGACATTTTTTCAATGGTTTGCAATAATGGACATTTTTGCAAATGATTAGGTAAAAATGAACATTTGATGAAATTTCCTCTAGAAAAAAATATTTATGTTAATAGTTTATATAAACTTAAGGGTAATTAAGTAATTTTACTTAAGGTCATTTAAGTAAATGAAAAAATTGATTAAACAAGTAATTTTTGTAGTGACAAGCTAAAACCCCAATAAAACCTTATATTCGTCGTCCGCGCTCAAGATCTGTACTCACTGTCTCATTTGCATCGTCTACGATGGCCGCTGTCGCCGCTAGGTCATGCCTTCGTTCCGCGACCACATCCACCCGAAGTGCGGCAGCCAGGTTCTTTGCTGGAGCCAAGCCCAAGGCCTCTACCTCTCCCTTTCGCCCCTCATCTCAAGGCCCCCCTCGTGTTTTCAGGTTATACAAACGTATTTCAGTAAGTATTCCAACGCGAATTACGTTTTTACGATTCATTTATATGTCCATATATGTGTGTACTAGGTCACCGGTGGAGATGAGAAGTATTAGCTCAGCGTCGATGCTACCGTACCACGCTGCAACTGCTTCTGCACTGCTCACTTCCATGTTATCTGTTTCTCCTCGAAGCCACGCTTGGACCCCCGAAGGTACTTTAATTTCGAAATATACGTATATGAAATTGTTTGTATGCACTTCTCTCCTGTCTTAGCTGATATACCAATGTTTTTCGCTGGAAAAATATGTTTGCACATGATCTGGACAAAGTGGACAGTCGGTATGATTTGGTGTTTATATTTTGTTAACTATAACCTTAATCTAGGTTTTCGTTTATTCTTGAGCGAAACTAGGTTGGTACAGATCCCTTAATTTTACCTATTTTGATTGTTATTACACTCGACAATTGTAAATAAAAGAGGGTAGTTCGAGGAACCCAAACCTCCGATTTTACTCAACTGAGTAGAAGTAACTGACTAATGCATTTTATACAATAATTCACCCACGTATATAGTGATGTCTTGCAATTATAAACCACCCCCCCCCCCCCCCACACCAAAAAAAAAAAAAAAAAAAAAAAAAAAAANNNNCAAAAAAAAAAAAAAGAAAGGGAAAAACAGGTGCAACATAAATGAATAATTTCTGGAACTGACTAATTCAAACTTTGACTTGTTCAAATGTAATTTTAATTAATCCCTGCAATACTTTAGCTAATTCGTAACATTCCCTTTCCCTTTAGAATTGGCGCTTGTCCTCAAAAGCTGCAAAATATGAAAATTAATTATTCATAAGCTCTAGGTTCTCCCAAGTTGCTTCAACTGGTGAAAGTCCTTGCCAGTGAACTAAAACATCCTCTCCTTGTCTGTGTTTTCGATGGTCTAAAACTGCTTGAGGATAGGGTACCAATTTATCATCATTCATAACAGGAAGTTGTGACTAGACTTGAATATAATTTCCCGCCTTTTTCTTAAGCAAAGAAACATGAAATACTGGATTGATTCTAGTTTCTTTCGGTAACTTCAGCTTATACATGACAAGCCCAACGCATTGCAAGATTTGAAATGGACCATAGAACTTTGGGGATAGCTTGAAGTTCTTCCTTGTTGAAACAGAGAATTGTTTGTACGGTTGCACCCCCAAATGCACCCAATCGATAAAAAAGAATTCTCTTTTAGTGTGCATAGCATCATATAGTTGTTCCATTCGAGCTTGAGCTTCCTTAATGTTCACCTTTAAGTCCTTCAAAGTCAAATCTCTCTCACCCAGCTCCCTATCCATGGCTGCCACCTTTGTCGTCCCTAGTATGTAGCTCAATGAATTGGGTGGTTCTCAACCGTAAACTACCTCAAATGGAGTTCTTTTAATGTTATGAATTAGCTAGAGTATTGCGGGAAATAATTGAAATTGCATTTGAATAAGTCCGAGTTTGAATTAGTCTTTTCGTTGGTCATTTCCAAAAAATTATTCATTTTATGTTGCATCTGTTTTTCCTATTCTTTTAGGTTTATGGTTGTAAGACAATACTATATATGTGGGTGAATTACTGAATAAAAAGTATCATTGATTTACTTTTACTCAGTTGAGTAAAATAGGAGGTTTGGGTTCCTTGAACTACCCTCTTTTATTTACGATTGTTGAGTGTGATAACAACCAAAATAGGTAAAACTAAAGGATCTGTACTAGCTGGTCGGATCTTCTCCACCGTTAAATTGAGGAAATTCCGATTTTATCAATTTAGGTGCGAATGTGATGAACCAAGACCTGGAGATTCTTTATTGGTGTTTGTACGTTTACCACTAGTGTGATGCGTAGCTTGTGAAGACTCTTCATTCTCTTGGCCCAACTGTCCAGCAATATGATCCACATTGCTATTTAATTTTGCAAATAACTCTGTCGTCCGTGTGGTAAAATTTTGCTGCTGTTGTTTGATGTCTTGCTGTCCATTGGTGAGAACTGAGATACTTTGCTCGACCTGTTGTACTCGTTCTTCCATCCCAGAGCTCTAATCCCAGGCTGGTACAGATGCCTTAGTTTTATCTATTTTGATTGTTATCACAATCAACAATTGTAAATAAAAGAGGGTAGTTTGAGATACCCAAACTCACGATTTAACTCAACTTAGTAGAAGTAAATCACTAATGCTTTTTATTCAATAATTCACCAACATATGTGTTGGTGTCTTACAACCATAAACCCAAAAGAATAGGAAAAACGGGTGCAACATAAAATGATTAATATCTGAAACTGACTAACTGAAAGACTAATTTAACTTGGACTTATTCAAATGTAATTTTAATTAATCCTTCCAATACTCTAGCTAATTGTTAACATTTGAATTACTACAGGGGATGTGAAAAGTACCTGAGCGAGGCAGCTGGTATATAGGAAAATAACAAATTTTTGTGCATCTTACTGGTTTCGAGGTTTTTGATTGGTCATTTGTGGTCTTCAACTGAAAAAGGAAGAGGAGATTTAATAGGCACATGTCAGTTATAAGAAGAGCATTGCATTAAAGTTATCATTTGGAAATATGTTTCTTATAACTTTCGTTGAAAAAATTTCATCAAACTGCTTCTTTGAGATTGCTCCTCTGAAACCTACAGTGTATTCTCTCAAATTTTGTGTTATCTTAATGGGTTTTCACATTTCTCCCAAAGTAAAAGAGGTGTATTCTTCTCTCATCTTGTAGGGCAAGAGAGGACTAGATGAAGATCATAAAAGGAGGTGAAGTCATTTCATTTCTTTTTTCTAGTGGAGATAATGAACCGTTTTATGTCTATCTTCTCCAAGATTAGGGGTTTGAAACCACCATTTTAAAATATATCTGCTAATATCTTTATTGAACAGAGTTAGGAAGCTTCATGGTTGAACACTTTTCTAGTGAGATTGCTGAGTTTAGAAAAGTAGTTTTTTGTTCGTATCGGAGACAACAGCATGGAGGTTTTAGGCATATGTTTTGTTGGATTTGTAGCTGAGATTTGAGAAAATATTGGATTATTAAGTGGTTGAAAAGGAGTGAGAGATTAGGACAGAAAAGAGGTCCCAAGGAAATTTTTTATTCAGACATATGTGCTCTATAGAACTTTCTGTGTATATATAATAAAATAGTAGTCAAGTGTATTTATCCTTGTTATTTTTTTTATTTTTTTCTATTTATATGCAGTTATTAAGGGTATAAAGCCTAAACAACTTGATTTGAGCTCCTTAGTTTGTGTAGATTTCATGGAGACCTTGCCCTGGTAAGACAAAAACTTTCAAATTGGAAGAAAATATTTAAATGTAGCTAATTATGCTACCTACAATTACTTGGAAACAAAAATTATATATGTTATATTAAAAGATTAAGAAAGACTGATTGCTAAGTGCAAATTCGATGTGAATCCAACTTTTTGTAAGTTGTTTTAAGCTAAAATTTGGGGCATTGAAGCATCTCGACAGTTAAAACTTGGGTAAATTCTAGATTTGTTTCCATGCGCTTTATAGAATTAGAGCTCGTTACCACCTGTCTAAATCATTTTCTTCTTCTTTTTTTATCCGAAATAAAAGCGTATCAGTTTATTAACTATTTCTGTCATGTCAGTTTTCGGAATCATGGTCAATAGATTATTACGTAATTACTAATTGGAATTCCAAATGTCTGGAAATCGTATTTGTTACACTAGGAAACATAAAGATGCAATCTACAACAATGTATACAAATGCTCCTCTAAAGAATTATTCTTTGGGGAAGAGTAAGTGAATAAGTGGCTAACTAGAGGGAATAGTATTAGTCAGATGCCTTACTTTCTTCAATATCATCATTTATGATTGCCTTCTTATAAATTGCCCATAATTGTTAGTCACTTTTATATAATACATTTTTCTGTAGCATATGTATATGAACTTTTTAATTGGGCTTGAGAATCTAAAGAATGCTCTAAGTGTAATCAAATTCAACTCTGTGATTTGAAATTGTTGCTTAATTGTGAACCGTCGACTATTATTTAGAAATTAGTTGCAACACCACTGGTTCATATTATATGGGTAACTTAGTCAAACATTTGAATTTGTCAAATTTACCTGTTGAGCTACGGTTTTTGCTTTAATCATATAAAGATCATGCTAATATGTGGTATTCACTCAGATTGCAATGATGATGTATGATGACTGTTGGATGGTTCAAGCGAAGTTTTATTTACATGGGCTCTAGGAGAATGCCGGATAAATAGTCTTGAATGAACTCCAGAGAAGATATTATCTCAGTTGTCCTCGTCTTTAAATTAGACTGTTAAGTTATTCTGAACAAAGCTAGTTGAGCTTCACATAAAAAAATAAAAATAAAAAAATGATGCTTCATGTTCATGGCTTGTTCATAACTTTATTACACGATTGAGCTCCTTGTGGAGCTGTGGATTTTTATCAGTGTATATTTTTACATGCAGTTGCAAAGTAATTTTTTGAAAAGCAAGTGGAGAATCGTTTGTGTGTTAGCTATCTATTCGTGCAACTTGTTCTTCTTGTCCTTGGAACTGCATCTTTAAATAATTTGAAATTCCCCATAGCTTGCATTACCAACTTTCTTTACTTGACTCCAGATTTTCTCTGTTTAGGTTTGTGATTTCTGCTCTTGGGCTGACTTTCGGATTGAAGATTTCCCAATTCTCCTTTCTCCTTTAGCTGAAGTTTTTCGTATTTCTATTTATAAGAGATAATAACTTGAACTTGGTAATCATACTGGTGTGTGTTTGCTTCTTGATAGACTTTTAGCTGCTGTTGGCTTATTGTAAACTTCTTGGAAGTTAACAATTGTTTTCAGGTGGTATTCATGTCCATGGTTTGGACTTGTTCGTTGGTTCAAGGCTATTGGCATTTATTATAAAGGATGTTGCTAAGAGGCAAGTCTAATGAATAATGTTATATAACCCCATTAGAGTTGTAAATCCAATCTGGCGCTAAATGATAGGGTAAATGAAAGTTGAAATTAAATGAATAATTTAATTGCACTTATCATTTAATACTACAACAACGCCACCTAAATTGGCGTTACAACCCTAGTAGGGCTATATAGCATTACTCTATCTTGATATGCTTAAAAATTCATGGTGGCTTTTTTGTTACTTAAATTTGTATTTTACAATTGAAAATTGGGATAATGTTTGCATTTTCATTTGGAATACTGTTTGATAATATTTGCATTTTCGTTTAGAATATTGTGTTTTTGTTTTCATTGACTTTTTTCATAAATTGTTTTATATCAATTTGACGGATGTATCTATAAAAAATAATTTATTTTCGTGGTTATTAACCGAATCGAGATACGAATCGAACCGATTTACGTGGTTATGGTGCGATTATGATATGGTCAAAAAATTGGTGATGCAGTTATGGTTTTGGCCGAACCGATCCATAACCGAATCATTGCTAACCCTATTTGTTAGGACAATTTACTGTTTTATTTGCAGAATTTGCTCTGATTTTACCACACTTTGAGGTGATGTGGCTTAACAAAATCCAGTGATAATTATTTTATTTTATTTTATTTTTTTACCGGCTATTAAACAATAATTCGTGTAAATTTTGCATTCCGAAGGACCAGTGTTACCTGGCTGCATGAACTGAACTACATGGATGTGAATGTTAATCGTCACTAAGCAGGGTTATGAACTCGCCAGACCATTCATTATTAATTCAAAAGTGCTCGAATTTATAATTATATTTATATTCTTTTATTACTCAATGATTTTATTTAATTCATATTTGTTTTAATTTGATTATTATTTTACGTTAACAGAAAGTTACTCATTAAAATTCAAAAGTTACAGAAATAAAAAATAAAAAAATCTTAGCACTACAGCGTAAATATTGAGAACTAAAATTTGAAGTAAATTATGATAAGATAATAATTTAGTTTCCTGATTGTTCATTTTTGGATCCCTCGAGACAATCAAAATGTTGACCAGAAGAGCAACATGTTCTTTGAGATCCTTGACTTTGTTGTTGAGCTCATTGTAACAATTATTGTTTGTTAGTCAATTTGTATTCTCCTTCGATATTTCGTTATGGTCAATTTTTTATTTTATTTTATTTTTTTTTGTTACATTTTGAGCTCATAACATTCGGATTTGGTAAATTTTTTGTTTATACTCTCCTCATTTGGAAAATTTCAATGAGTTGATTTTCTTGTTCGGTAGTTTCAATTTTTATTTTTTTTTGTTGGGGATAATGCACCGATTCAAATGTGCATATTACATTCATATAAACATATCGTTTATTTGCGTGAAATCGAAACGTAGTTTCAACTTACCAAAATAGAATTTGATAAGCAAAGCAATAATAGTTACCGAATTTGAATGCATGAATATGGATTCATTTTTTTCAATTCTTAAACGAAAGCAATCAAACCTCGCAGAAAAAACATGTAAATAATATTAATCAGTTTCTGAAATCAAATCATAATTAAGAGAAATCAAAAAATGAAGGAAGAAATATGCAAGTGTTGAATTTTTGGTCGAGACAAGTGTTTGACACTTGATCTTTAAAACGAATTTGCCTGGCATCGGTGTTAACGATTTTCTAGCAATCATCTCTCAAGATACAACGACACGTCAAGCCATAGGAGCACTCCAAATGGCTTCCACCAACGAACTCGAACGGAATTTCCTTTTTACCATAACAATAATTTTGATGCAAAAGATAATTACTTCTACGAAGTGTTTTATGTAACTTAACATGAAATGAATAATATGGAATTATGGAATGAATTGGAATAACAAATACACATTCAATGGGTCCTATATATAGAAAATGAAGGGTTGTGGGTGAAGGGACACACCTTAAATCCATCATTTTTCATAAAAAGTTGCAACACTTCATTTCAAACCTGCATCCTTTCAAAAAGTTGCAACACTTCATTATTCCAATTTTGGACTGCAATTTCTCATTCATTCGAAATTGGTTTCGAGATTTTAAATATACCACGACAATCTACTCGACAAGTAGAATAAGTTGGTTTATTTACTTTTGTAATTTAACCATCGAATCAAATCCGAACATTCGACCGAAGTCGACACGAAGTCACACTTTTTCATTTTTTCAATTTTACACTTAACCAATTTTCAGTTAATTTTTGAACGAATTCCAACAAACCCCCACATGAATAGAAATTCGAGTATGCAAATGTAATGCTATGATGTGATGCAAGTAGAGAGAGAGCGGAAAGCTACTGCATTGGGGATAGTAGCTTCTGGCCTTGAACCTCTCGTAGTGAAATACCATTGGACTTACTCGGCTAATTGGTGAACGTGATGTCTTGAACCATTCAACTTTTAGTGTAAGCCAAGACAACGATACTTATACAGATGTCTTTCCTAAACTATTCATGGTTATCATGACTTGGTTCATTTTGGCCTTGAACCCTTCTTGGTTCTACGAGTGTTTAAAGAATTCAAGTCTTGAATAATTCTCATTGAAGCGGCTCTACTTCACACTCACATAGGTGACCTCCTATTAAGAGTATTCTGCCCTATTTCACTTGATTTAATCAAGATATAGGAATCATTAAAAATTATCTTAACCTCTTGCAACTCTGCATAAAGCACTTTAATATCATAGGAATGAGTTAGGGAATTATTTTCCTTAGTGCTTCATGGAATTCTCATAACTTAGTTGTCCCTTTGAACTAAGATACTGGGATCTCCAATCAATAAAGTAGGGTTACCAAGGACTCTAACGTAGTAGGCTTCAATCTCATTCCTTTCGATATGCAGTATACTTAATCTCTCGGAAATCTCTTAAATGTACCACAAGTTTACACCATTGAGATCAACTACTTAATGATATTATGTTTATGACTTATACGTCTAGACCTACCATTACATGTGACCTAGTATCTTATCAATTATTGCTAGCAAACGATCGATTTCATTTAATAGATACAAATTGTTACCACTAAGAAATCCTTTCATGAAATTACATGTTTCTTATTAGCTTTATCTAAGGTTTTATCAATTTTCAAACAACACTGTTAAAAGATTTATATCTAATTATTACACTGTTAGAGGATTTATATCTAATTATTACACTAGTCAACCATGTTTACTAGTGGATTTCAGAGTCATGGATATTTAATATCATCATTAAAACATTACAGTGCATTCGAACTTTATGAATATTCTTCATATATTCAAATTGTTCTTGTATGTCTAAACAAATGCCATAATTGTCTTTACAACTCATTTCATCCACTTTAGACTTAGTATATATCATCCTTATAATTAATATAAGTGTTTTCTATCTTTCCACCTTCATAGGTATCATTCTATGATTATAAAATAGAAGCAAACGTAATTGTTAAACTGAGTTACCCCCACAATTCCTCAATTAGGAATACATATGCAATCTAGTAACGTTGCATCCATAAGTTTTTAAACTTTTCATTCAAGTTCACGAGCATTTATGATAATCCCCCCTATCTTTGGGTTACAATTGAACTTATGGTTTAGCAACTCTTTCATAGTTCAATTTATTTATCTCTTAGATAATATTCATATCGAGTGCTTCGTGAAAGTCTAAATACTTTCAAAATAGTGGTCGTTGACTCACAATTTATTTCAATTAAAGTTGCATATAACGTACTTCAATCCAATTATTTTAATTTGATCATTCAAATTAAATCAAGGCCATCATATAGACCTGCAATGCTTTCAAAACATATACCAACTTAATTGATTTTATGATTGAAGTCAAATTCAACAATAAAGAGGGCTAAGCATTGCAACTTCTTCAAATATATGCAACTTATCACATTTGTGACATTTCAATGATAGTTTCATTTCAACCATCGATTGAAAAGTTGTATTTTCAAAAGACACAATTTTATAAAAGGACATACCTCTTGAAATAATCTCTATGAAGAGACATACCCATTGAAAAATAATTATATCTAAAGTCATGGTTTTTCATATGAAATGACGCACATTTTCATCTAAATTGATCCTAAAATATTTCATAATATTCTACATAATTTTTCACCAATTCCAAGTAATCAAATTAGGACAAATTACATTTTGTCATATTCTTATGTAAATATAATTTTGCACAAATCATCCCATTGAAGTCAGAAATTTAACTGAATCATCACATTCAAACTTTTTCAGATTTAAAGGAAGTTGAGCACCATTGCCAACTTTAGGCACTGCTTGTGCTTTGCATAGTATTTTCATATCTTAATATTTTGGCAACAATTTTCACTAGAACAAATCACAATTTGTCATACTTTATGCAAATATAACTGGCATAAAAGTCATCTCACTTAATTCCATAAGATTAAATGAGGCTATCAACATTAATCAAGATAGTATAATTTCAACAAGATATGAAAATTTAACCAACTAATTTACCATGTCATATTTCATATTTCAATAAAAGAATAGTCATGAAAGTTCATATACTTTCACAATTAGTTGGCATGTATTTCAGTAACATTAGAGTTGTACCAATGATCAACATATATAGATCCTATTTAAATAAATATACATGTCATATTATTTGATAGGATAATCAAGTTGATGATAGATTATGAAATTTGATTTGAAAATGTATTTTGAAAATGAAGAGTCATCATTTAATAAATTGCCTTAAAAATCACATGCAATTTTTCAAAATAAATCAACTTCATGGTTCTTGACTAATTTATGGAAAGACACGTATTGACAGCCGTATATATTGATTAACAATTGTAAACATATGCAGTATATAATACTTCACTTTCATCATATACTAAACAAATGAATGGCATGGACACTTAAGACACAATTCATATAATAACATAATAGTTTTCGTGTATGCGTCAGTTTTTTTTTTATTAAGAGTTGCACGGAACCCCACTGAGCGTAAAACATAAACCAGTGTCGAGTTTATGCAATCAGATTTTGACATTCAATCCATTTAAAACTTCGTTTATGCAAACAGAATAGTGAAAAATATAAATGCACGAAAACAAAATTCATTTTAAGATTGTTGGGGATAATATACCGATTCAAATGTGCATATAAAATTCATAAAAGCATACCGTTTATGAATAGCATACATTTTGAAAAAGTATTAATATTGTATTGGCCGCCAACAAATGAATCGTTTCTGTCGGGTCAAGCCTGTAATTACTTTTGGTCACAAGTCATTCTCTTTTTATTTAGCCCCCTGAAAATTAAAATCAAATTTTTAGTATATTTTTTAGAAAAATTAATGAAATATATAGTTAAAAAATTATAGATACCATAAAATATGTTGTTACAAATAATTGTTGACTTTGATTTTATTAAAAAATTTAATTTTAACTTTTATTTAACATGCTTGTTGTCTTAATTGAAAACAAAATTCATCTTAAGATTGTTGAGGATAATATATCGATTCAAATGTGCATATTATATTCATAAAAGTATACCGTTTATTTGCGTGAATTTGAAACGTATTTTCGACTTACCAAAATAGAATTTGAGAAGCAAAGCAATAATAGTTACCGAATCCGAATGCATGACTATGGATTCATCTTTTTTCGATTTTTGAATGAAAGCAATCAAACCTCGCAAAACAAACATGTAAATGATGTTAATTAATTTTTGAAATCAAATCATAATTAAGAGAAATCAGAAAATGAAGGAAGAAATATGAAAGTGATGAATTTTTGGTCGAGGCAAGTATTTGACACTTGGTCCTTAAGATGAATTTGCCCCGCATCGGTGCTAACGATTTTCTAGCAATCATCTCTCAAGATACAACAACAACGTCAAGCCATAGGAGCACTCCAAATGGCTTCGACCAACGAACTCGAACGAAATTCCCTTTCTACCATAACAATGATTTTGATGCAAAAGATAATCACTTTTACAAAGTGTTTTATGTAACTTAACATGAAATGAATAATATGGAATTATGGAATGAATTGAAATGAAAAATACACATCCAAGGGGTCCTATATATAGAAGATAAAGGGTTGTGGGTGAAGTGACACACCCCAAATCCAGCATTTTTCATAGAAAGTTGCAACACTTCATTTCAAACTTGCATCATTTCGAAAAGTTGCAACACTTCATTCTTTTAATTTTGGACCGCAATTTCTTGTTCATCCGAAATTGGTTTCGAGATTTTAAATATATCACGACAATCTACTCGACAAGTAGAATAAGTTGATCTTATTTACTTTTGTAATTTAACCATCGGATCATATCCGAACATTCGACCGAAGTTGACACGAAGTCACATCTTTTCATTTTCCCAATTTTACACTTCGGTTAATTTTTGAACCAATTCCAACAATTTTTTCGTACTTTCTTTATCCTCAATCCTTTTTAGTTTTTCTTAGATACATCTAGGGACTCATCCAACCTTATTGGCAAGGAAAAAAGTAAACTTTTAAATCTAACATTCTATTAATTAGATATCAATGTTACAAATTAGCAAGTTGAAAAACTTGTGGGAAGCTTCAGATGGATTGTAGAGGACTTGAGTCCGAGCCTGGGTTAATTTTCTAAATATTCACTGAACTTTGTCAAAATTTTTTAGGAGGTGATCAAATTTCAAAACTTCTCTAAATAGTCATCGAACTTTGAAAAAAGTTTATAGGGGGTCACTGAATTTCATAACTTCCCTAGATAGTCATTGAACTTTATAAAATGTTCCAAGGGGGCCACTGAATAATTGATGTATTAGGTCCTAATTTGTAAAGTTCGGTGATCTTCTAGGAACTTTGACAAAGTTCAATGACTATTTAGAGAAGCTTAGTGACTCCTTAGGAACTTTTTGCAAAGTTCTGTGATTATTTAGGGGAATTTTGAAGTTTAGTTACCTCCTGGAAACTTTTGGTAAAGTTCATGACTATTTAGGGAATTAACTCTATGAGCCCACTATAATTAAAATGAATTTTTTTGGGTGAAATAGATTTTGAAATAGTGAGTTTTTGAAGAATAAGTAGTTAAAAAAAAAAAAAGATTTATGTGCAAAATATATCATAATGAGAATGTGTTATTAAAAATGAGTTTAAGTAAAAATAAACCATCCACCTCACCTGTTGCGTCTTGTCTGTATCGAACCTATACAGTCCGACATCGTACATGTAATGCGGTTGTTAATTTTAATGGTAATAGGGACCGTGGGCAATATAACGGGCAGTGCCGTAATAAAGTTATCTAAATGTGGGGTGTGGTAGGGTAACAATGTCCAAAGATTCCAGTGGATAACAAATTCTGCCATTCACTAAACTTCATGGTCGGTCGCTCTGTTTGATTTTTATTTTTTTTTAAAATGAATTTTTCTCTCTTTTTTTAATCACACATTATTAATTAAAATAATATTACACTTAAATTAAAACTTTTTCTTATTTTTCAATTACACATTTTTTATTAATTTACTATTCTTAAATATATTTTTTCATAAAAATGATCTGAAACGCCAAATAAAAATAATTTTACCCACATCACATCACATCACATCAAGCAAACGTTGGTAATTGGTACGCTCCGTGACCGCTCCTTAAGATAATTATTAGGAATGAAATATGGATAGAATAAGCAGACAGGAAGCATATGAAGTCCACGTCATACCACCACTTTTTTTCTAATTTCTCTAGCACCAGAAATTTCAGGAATTTCCACTTTCCTTTCTCTATATATGATCAAAGACCTGATAGAACCCAAGAGGATTTTGGCAAGTTTCCTTTAATATAACCTAAAAATTCAACAAAGATTTCAATTTTGTTCTTGGTGAAGAAGAAGAAGAAGAAGAAGAAGAAGAAGAAGAAGAAGAAGAAGAAGAAGAAGAAAAAGATAATGGTGGTAGAGTTCTTTCTTGGGTGCACGGGAGTTGTGATGCTCCTTCACGGAGCCAATTTCTTCTTCCATGCTCTCTCTTCTCATTTCGCAGCCATTCGTGCAATCAGGTACCATATCCTCCTCCTCCACTGAGCCGCCACCAACCACCCAAAAATTAGGGGGGGGAAAATTAAGGAAAGTTTATTTGAAGTTGTTGATAAATTTGTTTTTCCTATTTTACTTTCCTTAATCCATTTCTTATTTATGAGAATAATCAATATCTTGAAAAACTTATTTTTCCTTTAAATAAATCATTGAAGACTGTAGTATAATTCGAATTTAATTAATTTTGTAAGAACAAAAAGGTGCAGTTGATCATTGTGAAATTATTGTTTGGGGGTCTTTTCTCTGCTAAAGAAATATCATGGTTGTGGCCTGGTTGGTCCATCTTTCTTTCAATCATACTACGTTGCTGAATTATTTTGACATAATGGCTGATCAACACTCAAATGGAAGGGGCTCACTTTTTTTGAACTTTTTTAATCACGTGGAGATTCCGCGCAAGTGAGATGATGTAAATCATTATGTCAAAAAAATTCGAGTGAAGTAGTATACTTCTTTTTATTTTACCTTCCCCTAGCCTACAATTAGATGCACAATCATGCTTCAATGATGTAATAATTGACATAATTCTTGATATAATCTCTTATGAGATCATATTATTGAATTGTTTAAAACACAGTTGGTTTTTTCATTCATTTATCTATTATCACATACACATTTATCAACCTCTATCATTTTTCTTCAGTGAACGTAGATATTTTTGTTCCAAACATCATATTATATTCAGTCCTCTTTTTTTTAATTTTATTTATAAATTGCTTATTTGTTTGGCAACAGTTTCTTGGGATTTGCGGCTTGGTAGAGACGGAAGAGACGGAAGATGTTGTCATGTCAAGTAATGCTATTATGAGTGTTGTTCATTATCGTCTATGACAATGGCATAAACGAATTAGAATATATTTTTATTTATCGAATAATGTCACAATGACTCGACTGTATCATAGACCGATAATGAAACAACATTTATAATAGAAAGCTTGAATATCAATGGCAAGCTATTTTTAAATATTGCAAGGACTATAATAATATTAACAGTATAATTGTATATGTTAGCAAGGTGTGACTCCTTCTACATTTGAGGGGCTACAAATACATTAGTATATTCATGCCTACTTCGTGAAAAAGCAAGTTTAATTCTCTCTAGGTTTGGGCAAACATGAATGAAGTGATTGTAATTCATTCAATTTACAAATGTTAATATGCAATATTGTACTTCCTCCGTCCTAATTATATACGCTGGTTTCATTTTTTACACAGATTAAGAAATTTTCTTTAATGTCATTGGAAAATCAATTTTTGCCAAGATATTTTCTAATTTATCCCAATTTAATTTTTGTTATGTAGTAGTAAATTATTGCTTAAATTCGTAAAGGATTTGAATGATTTAATTTGAGGAGAATCATTGGGAACCATAACTTGAATTTTTTGAAACAAGTAAAACCAAAACCAGCACTCAGCAACACCAAAATTCTTACTGAAAAAGTCAAATTTTCAGCTAGCTACGAAAACCAGAATTGAAACTTTTTGATCAAAACAAATTTTCATTCGGCCAAATTCATACTGAAACCATTAAATATTCACCAGCTAGCTACTAAAAGTAGAATTTAAACTTTTTGAACAAAACAAATTTTCATTCCGCCAAATTCATACTGAAAACATCAATTTGGATTTGAATCGACTCTGACGTTGTACGAATGGCCAAGGCAGCTCTTAATTCAATCGAGTAATTTCAATCGGGTAATTTTGTAGATTTGACATACGAGCTCTGATTTGGGCCCATAATACATTTCCAAATAGGGAACGACGAGATGGATCAAACCAACTGCTTTGCAGCTGCCTATGATGGATTTTGGCCATCCGAGGTCGTTAAAGACTCAAAAACAGCACTTTTATGTTATGTGTATTTTTTTTTTCCTTTTGCTTTAGTTGCATCGTTTAGTGCTTTGCCCAAATCCTAGCATTTCTATGATATTGAAACATGTTCAGAACTCACTTTGAGGCTTGGCTTTTGATTTCTGAACGATATCATTTGGTTGTGTTAGTTGTTTCCCATGATTGGCCTGCATTATTTTTCTTATTCTAGACCATCCATGTATAAAAAACGTAGCTATAAATTGAACTTACTCAATACCAGAAATACATGTAAGGTAAAAAACATTTAAAAAAAAACATGTCGTCCACACCATCCATGTATAAAAAACGTAGCTATAAATTGAACTTACTCAATACCAGAAATACATGTAAGGTAAAAAACATTTAAAAAAAAACATGTCGTCCACACCATCCATGTATAAAAAACGTAGCTATAAATTGAACTTACTCAACACCAGAAATACATGTAAGGTAAAAAACATTTAAAAAAAAACATGTCGTCCACACCATCCATGTATAAAAAACGTAGCTATAAATTGAACTTACTCAACACCAGAAATACATGTAAGGTAAAAAACATTTAAAAAAAAAAAAAAAGATGCCTATTTGGCGTTCAACACATCCTTAAGTTGGCATTGAATTACTGTAAACATTGGTTATGCACAAGTCTCGTAGAATTTGGATATACTATTTCTTAATATCAGTATCGACTTTATCAGGAAGAGCATCCATCTAGTCCTCGTAGATTTTTGCTAGATAGATTTTGATCATCCAAGAAACAACACGTTGAAACTCTTGAGAAACGAAAATGTACCCATCTCTGTCGATGGAGCATTCAAATCAAACAATGGCCTCACCGCTTTCTTCGAGTTGAGATCAATTCATAAAATTGATGTATAGGTATCTTCTACGGAATGTGGATGATTTTTAGAGTTCATACTCATGATTTGGACAAATACTCACATGCACAGAAATTTGGTGGCAGTGTGTATGACTATGTTTTTGTGGAAATTTTTATCAGATGCTAGTGCGAAGACAGAAATGATTTTTATCAATGGCAGAAGACAGGAAACAAAGAATCACAGATGCATATTTCTGTGAAGACACAGAGAAGTTGAAGAATCACAAATAGAAGAAGACGGGAAATCTCCAAAAGTGGAAAATATGTGCATTTGGATGATTTCAATTTCAATAAGTTGGTATAATAAGTGGGGAAAATTGAATAAGTACATATTAGTAAAGTAACAAATCAAAATATTCTAAATGACGAAACCAACCTATATATTTGGGACAAACGAAAAAGGAAACTCGGACTATATAATTGGAATAGAGGGAGTATAAAATTGAACAATTAGTCAATTACCAATAGGAGTTTTTATGTTCTAGTTTATCTCAATAAGGAAAATGCCAAAGCGTGAAAATTGAGACCAACACCAGATGGGTGAATAGGAGAATGGTGGAGGTGACTACGGATGTGGTATAAAAGATAGCAGACAAGGGAATCGTTACCACTATAAAGAAACATAGTCGAGCTTTGCATAAATAAATAATCCACTCAATTAACTTGCGATGAACCAAGCTAAAAAGCCGCATCCATTCACACATAAATGTAGTTTTGTGTATCGATTCTTCTTTGGACATATCGGAGGCACATTAGACGGAATAGTAGTGAATGAATACAAAGTATGAACGTAAAGAAAAGAAGCTAAAGTCAATCCATTATTACGATGTTGAGCTGTCAAAAACCATATATCAAAACAACTTAAAAGTATTTTGTATAAATATTGGAATTAATTGAGAGAACTGAACTCACATATCAAATAGAAAGAGCGTGAAAAAAAGTCAATACATTCAAATCTTTCTTCGTCTTATCTTCCTTTCATTATAAACAATACAAATAAACTAAACATCTGCATGTTTACCTTAATTTATTTTTCTAACTCATTTTTAACCACACTTTCACAAAATAAAATATTTTACACATAAATTCAAAACTTTTCTTTACTTTTTAACTACACATTCTCCAAAAAATACTATTCAAAACTATGTTTTTTATATACTTGGTGCTTACACGAGGAAGGGTACTCAGCTTTACCTCAATGCAGTAAAACAGAATAATGAACCGGTGCATTTAAACTGCCTTCTGAGCAATTATTAGTCTTCTGGTCTTTCCTGAAAAAAGTCGCAAGTGCCTGAAAAGATAAGTAGAAGAAAGCCTGACCTGAGAATAACATATGCTGCTGGCAATTCTTCTTTTCTCAATTTCAGTAGAATCATCTAATGAAACTTCACGATCCTTCAAACTTCACACAACACCAAGTTCGGCCGATGTTAGGACTGAGAATGTCGTCGGTTCCTTTTTTTACCCAGACGAACCATTATAATACATGGTGGGTTGAATATGGTATTAGAATGAGAAATGTACAAGACAACACACACAACACGACACAATTTACAACATGTCTCCTATAACTTCGCTCAGATCAACAAGGATTCATCCGACAATATAGTCAACAAAGAATATTTCACTTTAACTCGTATCATCCCACTCTCTACACAAAGTTTGGCACCGGTGACCACCCAGTACCCAGGTGGATCTTCGGGTCCCCTCACCATTTCTTTTGTGTCAACAAAATGTGACATTTTTGGAGCTCTTGCAGGAGAAGGTGGTCCACCTGGATAAACTGCTGAATTCAAATCTGCCTTAGCTGGTGGCTTCTCGGGTTGATTCAGTGCAGTGCTGAATGGTGAACTTATTAACATTGAAATCATTCCGGATTTTTTCGACGAGGACGTGGGTCCGTCCCATTCCGACCTACGGATTCTGGCAGATGCTACCATTGAGAATTCAAGCCTTAGGAAAAGGACCTTCTTCATGCCTATACCCTTGACCTCAAACCAGGCCTTCGTCACAATAGATGCTGTGTCATCAAACCGTGCGCCATGGTACTCTACTGGAGCAGTGCATACATGCGAGAATATGCTCCATTTGATGGGTTCCAAGTATCCTCGTTCCATGGGTTCATCAACTGGCTCGTAACTATGATCGTCCATAAGCCGAAGAGACTCGGGAAGAGTTGACAGATGCTGCAGATGGATAGCTAGGTAATCACTCCTTTTTCCTTCCAAGTACAAGCGAATTCCAGTCACTGGACGGTTTCCGGTATCAACCTGCAATCACTTGAAGTTATAGTAGAGAGAGAGAGAGAGAGACAATATTCCTCTTAAAATGTTACCACACAACTAAAAGTATTCAATAGAATATTACTTATGTAAAGATAATTTTTCAAAGAAACGGCAATTAAAACATTGAGACTGGCATAATATATCAAAGGAACAATCGACAATGCACTATATTATCTTTTATTTGTCTTCCAAAAATAATGTTTAATAAAGAAAAAGTTCAAGTAGGCTAAGCGGGCATTCAGTTTGGATTCTGATGCAAAAAAAATTATTTTTCGATTATGACAAGAACCTGCTATCTAGAAGTATTATGAATAGCATGGAAATTTTAATCAGAAATCACCTTCACAGTATTGACATATAGCTTGGGACCCATAAGAGAGAATTGTAGTGTTGGAAATGATTTTTTCTTGCGACGAGGACCAAGAGGAAGATCATTGTATGCAGGAGCCCACTGTCGGGGCAACTGAAATTCCAAAAATTGACTGAGTTCCTCTAGTGGTGGTTTGTCTGCACAAATATATGTCACCAATAAACTCTATCAGAAACAGTGTTCATAACTTCTAGTAAATTTATCCAGCAAGTAAAATAATATTTTTTTTTACTTAAAGTCTTAGATGCGGAAAGTGAAATTAAAGGCGACACATTTCTAGAAGACAAGAATAATGGTAATGTAACTAAATGCAAAGTCAGATTCAATTCAATAGCATATACTTACATCGCAGGTATAGATTAATTGCATGGCTTAAAAATCCACTGCCACGAACACCACTTAAAAGAGATGATATGGGCACATAAGACATTGATATGACATTTGGAGACTGTGATACAGTTGAAAGCCACTGGTTATGACTTTGGCCCCTATCAAAACCTCCCCTCCGAATATGAATACTCAATACATCCTGCACCAAGAAATAAATGCACTAACTTGTATCGGGAACGTGGAGCCCTATAAGTAAATAAGAAAACGAACAAGAGGCTTACATCATTTTTGGAGTGAGAAACAACAGAAGGTCTCATTGCTTTTGCAAATGGTAGACTAAGATCCCAGATCATTGGTTCTTCCTGTGAATAGATGAATTTCAAGGAAAATGGATCAGTCTAACAAGTAACACATTGAATATTATAATTTAAAATTGGTCATAGCAAGTGTAACCAACCATATGACCTTGATCATTTGCAGTAGGCTACTTCCATAAATACCAGTAATGGAGATGGTTTCTTAGCACTTTCTTTTTCAATTAAATTTCCCTTTTTAGAACAATAATGTGGCTGCAAAATTTGTATTAGGCTTGACCTCTCAGAAAATTATGCATATTTGTTATAGCCTGTCGCTGGAATCGAGTGTGGCACATACATGATTTCTCTATCTGCTGTTACTTCTCGCCCTTAAACTTTCCATACAGCCAACACATTATCTCAGAAAAATTTACACATACAAAAGTTTTCAAATGTAACAAGGCATTTCCAGTTTAACTTCAAGTCTATCATTGGTCCTTTGCTGAATTCAGTCGATGGTCATAAAGTATGAAGTGGAAAAAAGATGTAACTACATTATAAGCTGCAAAAGAAATATGATGAAGATCTTACACAAGCAAACCTAATATGGCATCAATATACTTGTTGCTGTGGAGTGGTAACTAGTGAACATATGATGCAATTTAAGGATATGCTTGAGTGAAGAACTTTTATACTGGCAGCTAATAAAAATCTACTCGAACAAGATACAAGTGGTTTCAACTGTACTAAATGGGACTGATTCTAAGATGCCAATTACCTTTGGCTTTCTTGATGAATTATCAGCTTTTGGTACCAGGATTCCATTTACTTCTTCAGCAAATTTTTCATCAGCTAATTGTTTTAACAGTTTCTGCACATCTGTTGACTGCAGACTTGAACTTTGAAGCTGCTTAATGTGAATTACATCCTTACCTCCCATCTTAACCCCAACAATGACATGGGTACCATATTTTTCAATAAACCTGAACGCAAAATATTGATACTCAAGATCAAATTTTTACACAGTTTCCCAACTTTTCATTGGAGACATCCCTTGATGTGCCTTAAAGAAACAAAGAATGCAAAAATAATAAAAAAATGTCCTAAATTCTCCAACTACAGGAACGGATTCAATATATCCATACCATTTTTCAGTGAAAAGTTAGTTTAAAGTATGTAAAATTATGTAAACATACTTCAAGGGTTCAAACATCTAGGTAGTTAAAACCTGGTGCGTTCACCTTTATCGCACTTGATGGAGGCTGATACGCCAGGGACAACCACCCCGCCGGGCACCACCAGGTCCTTTATTTGGGTTCTGTCCAGCTCGATCAGACCCGTACCCTTTGGACCCGCCTTGCACGCCAATAAACGGATATCCGACGTCAGATCGTACCCGAAGCCGATCACCGACACAGCCTTCTCAGCTGCCGTCTGCGGGTCCATTTGATTAGGATTGTACGCCATGGAAGAGTTGATAGTTTGAAGGAAGATCTTGGAGTGGTTTGTTGCTTGGTTGAAATTGGAGGCAAGCTGGAGCCAAAATACGAATTGCTAAGAGCACTCCGGTGGGAAGTGAATTACTAAAATAACCTTGTAAAAAATAATGAAACACGAGGATGTGATGATCATGTTGTTTGACCAGATATCATGATTGACACCGAAATCACCTTTATTAATGAGAGTGAAACTTGGGTGGATCAACTTTTCCTTGTTTTAGTATTTATTGGTTCATAGAACAATATGACTTTTATGAAATGACAATATTACAAATAATACTGAACAAAATGAACATATAAAAAGAAGTGAAACGATTTTTTTTCGATTTAACTCCAAACTTTGTATTGCTCGTCCTCATGCTCCTAGGCTTTCTTCTTCCCATATTTTATAATTGAGGATCTTAAAACATAAGTCTTTGCGCATATATGTGTGCCGTTAAAGCTCGTGGAATTGGGAGGGGACACATAGATGGGGGAGAGAGGAAAATGTGAAGCAAATTGTGGTGGTCGAAAAGGGATAGTGAAGATGATAGATGAGTACAAATATTAGTTATAATAAGAATCGGTGCAGACTTATATGATGGAGAGGGAAAGAAGAACTTTACGTGGTATCATCGAGAGATCTAGGGATGAGTTGCAAGTAAGGTCGGCCCTGAAAATTTTGAAGTACTGAGCGACTATTTATTACGATGCCTTTAAAGATAATTTTTTTGCACTCGTAGCGATATTTGAACAGAATTACTTTTTCAATTTTTGTTTTTTTTCCATAGGAAAATCCATTAACATGAGACAAAGAATTGAATCAAATATGGAAGTTAATTTATAGCTTGCTACAGCTTTTTCAATTTGTGTACTTCTTCAATTTTAACTGAGAAATTGGAAGAAACATACATTAATAACAGTAATGCTAATAGAAGAGTGCCGAATTTATTATCTTTTCATTATAGCGAAAGAGAGCAAACAATTCTAATTGCTTGATAAACTCAAAGCAATGAGCATAATAATAAAAACACTCCGTTGTGTTCTTTCTTTACACCTATTCATAATGAGAGATATAAGTCAAAATCCTTTAAATTTTGAATTGCCAACAAAATACATTGATCTAATCAACAATAGTTATTAGACTAAAATATGTGTCTTCGGAAAAAAGAAATTCAAAGGATAGAATTTTTTTTTGGAGGCCCAAGGCCTTAGCATAGTAGGCCTTATAGCAAGGGCGGTCCTAATTGCAAGAGTGTGGAGGAAGACATAGCGATGACTATTACAAAATGATTGAGAATGAGAATGTGGATCATGGGTTGAGTTAGGGTCTACGAAACGTGATGGTGATTTTTCTTATAATTGTAATAACACAAAATGATTTTCGTATTTTATAACCCGTGAATAAGAACAAGCATGCTCAATAATAGAATGTTGAAACGTTCAACGACGAAAATGAAAGTGGGGCTAGAATTGTAAAAGTAGTCAAACACTGTGGACCCTACATACAATCTCAGGTGAAGAAAGTGGAGCAGGGCAATGTTTTTCTTTTGGGTGGAAATATAAGTTTCAAGTTCAACGTTTGGAAGGGTAAACGTTCTACCGTGTGCTGTTGATTTTGACTCTAATCAAGTTCCCAGTGTGAACGAAAGTTGATGAACGTGGCGGCTGTTTCCCGGTAAATTATGACAGCCAGGATTGTTTAATTATGCGAACAATCATGCTATGAATGTCAAAATCATTGATATAATATTGGATTTTGATAATTGTACTATCGATCCCTCACAAAAAGGGCGGGTCCATGATGAATAAAAAATCGTGGACCCTCCTATTATGAGGGATAGCATGGTCCTATAATATTAGATGATGGTCTATTATTAAAGTGTTTAAAACATGGTCCCCGGTGCACGAATAGCATAGTCCCATAATATGAGATGATTGTCTATTATTAAAGTGTTTAAAACACGATCATCTTCTTCATCAAATCATTTTTCGCCACATAGAATTCTGTCAACCTTTCTATTATACCCAAACAAAACTCTAATCCTAGTGCGAACTCTTTACGAAGTCACTTTTAGTGCCCCACTTCCCATTTCATCACAATTCACACTATATAAAAAGGGAATGCAACATGTACAATTGGACTTGACAACCACACACGTGGAAGGAAAATCACAATTTTTTATCATCGTAGGCCTCCTCTCATGTGTGTGGTTGTTAACCGGAGTTGTCAGCTCCGATTGTATAATTAGCAAAATTCTTATATTAAAGGGCATATAAATGAAATAACAATATCATATTAAACCTGTGTTTGAGCACTAAATTTTAGAAATATATACCAGAACTCTCCAAAGTCAAATTTCAAAGTTTGGTGTGAGAAGAAAAATAGAGAGTTTTGACTAGATTTTACAATATTTATTTATACCTTACTTGTATTACTTCTTGATATTTATAGACTAACCTTCGAATTGAGGGTGTTTTTGACATTTGATTTGTCATCGTATCGATTTGACGCATGTCAACAACATATCGAGCTTGAGACATCTTCCTCTTCTGGTGTCTTTAGCATATGCCACCAGCCTAGCTATTTGTCTCCCTGTTTAAAGGACACCAATGGACGTCGCCATGCTAAACAGTTGTGCCAACTTTTGTTCCCGGACATTTCCTTTTTTGGACACTTGCAGGGAGATTGGGGAAGTAGATGATTCTAGCTTCCTTAGGAGTGATCTATGGGGATAGATCAGACTGATCAGTACATCACAAAGTAATTTATTTCAAAGACATCCAAAATGTCTCATCTATTTAGCAAGGACTCACACAAAAACTTGTACATTGTTCTCCACAAAACCACTTAAATACGAAAGTATGGTTATCAAATAAGTCATTTGGCATTTTCTTAACAAAAGAGAAGGTAGAAGACTAACTATTTAAACAACGGGCATCCAACCGTGTCTATACTAAGAGATGTGAAGATTGCTTCGTAGATATTTCATGTTCAGTATATAATAGAGCTCTATACAGCTATAAGTCACATCATGTTCAGGGGTCGACGCAGACATTTTACATTAGGGGGTCACAATCAAATTTTAAAAAAAAGTGATGAAATTTTCTTTATTATTTTATATGGGTTATAAACTGTTATACTATTGTTTCACCTTGATTATTTTTAGGATTTTTTTACTATTGTTATTTTTTCCTCTCAATCAATTAATATTCTTTTAAAATAATCTAATAAAATTTCTAGTAAAATTGTTGATGTTATTTGAAAAAAATTAATTGATCGAGAGGAAAAGGTAACAATAATAAAAAAAAAATTCTAAAAATGATTGAATTTCTTTTTATATATAAATTTTTTCTGATATAAAAATAATCAAGATGAAAAAATAGTATAACAATTTATAACCCCTATGAAGTAATAAAAATTTTATTAAGAATTTTTACGTCCAAAAAAAATAAATTTTGACTTCGCACCACATATAAAATTCCCTAATATAATGATGTAAATTATATTGATAAATTTGTCTCGCAAAAATAATAAACATTAATAAAATATTTGATTTTTTCCCAAAAAGACGAGTTATACGTTTCTTTTTTGCATACAGGTTTGACGTACTTAACTATTTTCGATATTTATTTAGATCACTCGAAATATTTATGATATAGTTCTCGAAATGAGTTTCGAGATGATACAGAAGATTTATAGATACAACTAGCGTATAATTGTCGAAAATTTTTTAAAGCTAGCTTGTTATCGAAATTCTCGAAATATTAATTTGGAACGTCCTACTTTGATGATTCGTAACATTTGCTATGATTGGCCATTTCACACACCATTAACGACGTGAAATACTAGGCCGTGAATATTTCAAAATGCTATTAAGAATGTAATATTTTAATTTCGTTTGATATTCTATAATGAGCCCGAAAACTAAGACGACAAAAAAAAATCTTGAAAAAACTAGATGGTCAAGTGATCCTATGGGACCCCCCTTGAATCCGCCCCTGATCGTGTTAATAAAATCAGAGCCAATGTGGGTAATATGACCATATGTTTACTTCGGTGACCAAATGGTACTATCATTCATTAGAAGATTGTCTCCACCTTTGACCCATAATGTCAACAAAGCCTCATTTCATTTCCTACAAGAATCATAAAATGACTATGATCAATAAAGTTCAATAAGCAAAGTATGGTGCATGTGTGACAAAACACATAAGAGTTGTTTTTATCTTGATTAGGGCTAGCCCCTAATTGGTTAGATAACAATTAGATTTTTAATAAATTTTGATAAAAGTATATTTAATGCAGTGTTAAAAAGTTACAAGTTGCATGGAATGTGTGGTTTAAATTAATTGTTGAATTTAACTTAGATTTTAATCAATTTTTTTAGCAAAATCAAATAGGGACTTATTTGTGCACCATGAATTCAGATTAAATTTTTGCTATTGAAGCACATGGCCACATGTTGAGTACATCATTGTGCTATAAACTTTAGCACCAATTTGGTCATGTAGTCTTTTCCTTGTCCTTCACATACTTCAAACGGTATACAAATTTATTTCGAGAACTTTGTGTTATCATACATCTTATCTTCTTCACATTTATTCCTTTCCTAAAAATCAAGTAGAACATAGGTAACGCATGGATGAATTTCTCATAGCATCAATTTTCATTTATTGCATTGTAGCAAATAGGCTCATAGTGCAAAAAAAAAAAAGAAAAAAAAAAGAGCTTTGCGCGAATTAAATTCCTTCGAAATAACTCTAGTTGAGCTCAGTGCATTAATAAAAACTTTTCATATTACGTACAAGGATAAATAACGTAAATTACTTGCAGGTTAAAGAAAAATGACTTTACGAACCTGACAATAAAAGAGTTTTAAAAGTGTCAAAAGTAGGAGGAGGAGGTTTTTTAAGTTTCTAAGTCAATATATCGAGATCCTACAGAACAAGTTTTAGTATCCTTTGAAGGGTATTTGTTGAACTCGATTTCGATGAACAATAGATGTTGGGCTCATTTGCGTGCACATGAAGACGGGTTGCTAGTCGTCAATACTTCAAAAATGGTAGACATGGGAGAAGCTCAACGATGCGAG